TATAATAGAACATTATGCAACATCTAATTGGCATATCATTCAATCAGTTCGACATCTCTAATATTGCCCAAAAGAAAATGTCCATCTTTCAGAAATGACAACAATACGACAAAGAAAATAAAAGTACATTGGATCCATTTTACAAAACTTAAATATAGAAACAAATATTTTCCCCTCGAGATATGATAGAAGTGCGTGGGACTGAATTTTAGCTAGACTCTAAGACTAGGAAAACAAGACCATGTGTAAACAGTAGATAACGGGAAATCTAAAAACAGTAAGTTATCTAAATAATTTATACAACTTCTAGGAAAGCTAAAAGAAGATGACAAAGAAAACCTGATTAACATCTAATCGATTAACGAAATAAACACAAGATCTCAAACGATAGAATCATTTATACAAAACAAAAGTAATGTCAATATTTGTCTATAGATCATTCTCTCATCACAGATCTTTTGTAGAGTGCATTGATTCTATAAAACACTTTGCATAACTAAATGATTATGTCAGATTTACATGCATGCGCTCTTGTGCTTTCAGAATACAACAAACATTGTCCTCAAGAAACGTTCCATCTTATATTTAGATGTCTCATCTCTTTGTCTCGTGTTTGGACTCAGTTTCTCTCACACCAGTAGTTTTTTTCTTTCCCCATCTTTTTCCCGAGTACATGTACCACGCATACATTTGCGCACGCACATTCGAACACAGAAAATATAAGCTTTTAAACACAAGGGGACTATCCCTAAAAATGCTGTTTTGAGAAAAACAAAAGGTAAAGTTTTTGCCCCTTGTTCAGTTTGTTTAAAAGACAAGGAGAGTTTTCTCTATAACTAAACAAATACACCAATCAAACCAAACTTCTCCTATAGGTAGGGCAGTGCCCACTTTTGGTGTAGGTCAAGATTTCTGGAACCAGCTTGAATCTGGGTTGGCCCACTTGTCCTTAAAAGCGACCATATAATGTACTCAAACGAGTATTATAGCTCGTCCACTTTCGTCTTTCCGCGATTAATTAACAAATAAAATGGGATCAAAACAAATCTCTGTCTTTAACCTTCTCACGTCTTTGCATGCGGATCTAAAATTTGGAAAAAAAATCTCAAATTCCATTAATGAAAGTTATTGTGAAATAAGGTTCCGACACGTTTTCTCTGATGTTAGTCTAAAAAGGGTAAAAAAATATCCGAGGATTTACAATAACCGCTCAAAACATTTTTTGAAAAGTTAAGCTCACGCCTGTGAACCACGGTCAAACAGATCATGAGTGAGGTCTTTTCGAGACTCACACGGAGACTTCTCAATAGTCTTTGAAGGACATTTACAAGGTAACACTGACATGTGGCGGAATGCAGGTGTCGCTATCTCAAATGAACAATTTGTTTGCTTGGATCAAGATTTTTGGAAACAACTTTAATGTCTTTGTTTGGTGTCTAGTCTACAAGAGTGCCATGCAAAGATACTTGCACATTGGCGAATCAAGGTAATAAATGAGCCAGAATTTTTATTTAGCGTGGACAGACAAAAGTGATTGATACACTCGAACAGAACTCTTCCTCTCTCTCTCTCTCTCTCTCTCTCTCTCTCTCTCTCTCTCTCTCTCCCCCTCTCTCTCTTTATTTATCGCTCTCTCACTCTCTCTCTCTCCCTTTCTCTCTCTTTCTTCTCTCTCTCTCTCTCTCTCTCTCTCTCTCTCTCATATTCTTTCTCTCAGTCTCTCTGTCTCTGTCTCCTGATCTCAAGAATGTCATATTATTTTGAGTCACTCTTTCTCTCCCTCTCTCATTTTTCTCTATCAGCCGTTTCCTTTTATACCTGTTCAAATTGATGTAAAAGTCTACTGTAGTGAACCGTTCAGAACTCACTTGATCAACTTCTCACAACCAGGGTCTGCGACCACTGTGTGCCCACGTGTGGGTCACCATGAAAATAATATCTCGCGTGAAAGACGATTTTAACCCTATCCGTACGTCGTCTTTTACTATCGTATCCATACGACGTGGGGAGCTCTGTGCCCCCACTTTCCAAAGAGGAAATTTACTCGTTATTTCGATTCGCATGCTTTGTTAGGCAGTCTGTCGAAATGATTTTTTGAGAAATACTGAACGCTTAAAAGAGATCTTCGCACGAGAAGTATTCTAAAATGTGAAGAATACAAATCCGGGGGTACAAAATGACCTCAGGGTGTACGGATAGGGTTAAAACTTACTGTAAGCTTGAGAGGACGGGGTGTTAAACAGAAGGTTACACCTGGAAGGAGAGACTTCTGACGTCATCGTTACTGAGGAACAGCGGCCGGGGAACAGCAATTAGTATCTGACTATATTATTATTACTTCTTTGTTTTATTAAAAATTAACTTGGTGTCATCGCTCACAGTATTGAACACAGCTAGACTAGATACGCAATGGTTCGTCTCGATTTTGAATAATTAGACCTCAGTCAGCTATCAGGTCACCCTTAAGCTGAATTTTTTTTTCTTTTTTTTTTCAAAAAATTTCAAACATAGAAGTGTAATCTAGCCTTCAGAGTAATTTGTTTCAGATGCTACCAGAGCGGACCTTAGACTAAACACTGAGGGGAAGAAATTAAGTCTTTTTTGTACTTAGCCTAAAACACACCAAGTAAAAACTGGAGCTACAAAAATCTTATTTAAAAAGTTGAGTATCGATCCAATGATCAATACTACCAAGGCGAGCTTTTGGCTTAGTACAGAACAGAGAGTTTACAGTATTATTGTAAACCCTCTCTGGTACAGAAGTCTAACTGTTTCTCTGGACAGTTACTTTCCATGTTAACAAAAATTTTTAAAAAACAAATACGGTCGCTCTTCCCTGGTCATCTGAAGTAGACTTTTAACCCATTTGTTCCGCTTATCACGGGGTATAATTGGTTACATGCATAAATACACAGAATGCAGAACAGAAAGAAACTGTATGCTCAAGCCGTGTACACTACTACTGAGTATGTAACTCGCCAAAGCAACACACGGGTAAAGTTTCGCCAGTGACCACGCATTTGAGAAGAGTTTCAGAGGGTGCAGGTAGAGTGAAATCACAAATGAAATAAGATATCTCCCCCCCTCCAAATTAAATGCAGCTTTCGGTTTTCATTAACTATCTTCAATGAATGAAAGAGCTTCTAAGCCACATGCTTGCAGTTTGCAGTTGAATTTTGCTAGGTTGTCTTTTCTGTGACTATGAAGTTGATAATGTCCATCTTATTTTTACTCTACAAAAATAATTGAAAAAAAAAGTTCCTTCCAAAAAGAAAGAATTTATGTAATATGGTATTTTATGTAATAGTCATATGCTTGGATATTTTTTTTGCCTGTGGACTAGAGATAAAGTAAAAACCGTTGTTGTCCAAACAGTGTAACGAATTTTACCTTGTTTTTTTCATGGATATCATTTGAATTATGACTATCTACTTTCTGTTCGAAATAAAGTAGTTTTGGATCAATACATTTTCTGGCGTATCAAAGAATAACTTATCACTACATTTGTGCCCTCTGATACCATTGTTGAGACCAGGAATGGTAACAGCAAAATTGGATGACCTTTTCATCAAACGACTGTTATCCTCTCATAAAAGTACATTTTGATAATGCCGGGAAGGTCAAGCATATCTAGTGCTAAAAAATCAATGCTTAAAAATTCAATCAACACCTTCCTAAATTGTATCAACTGTTCTCTCAAAGGCTAATAATTCCTTTGTTTTTATTTGGTATGCACACGCACCTCTTTTACAGGGTGTAATTATAATTTTAGAGATCGCTCACAACCGTTGAGACGATTAATTTAGATCATTTTGGAGGCGTGCGGTTTTGACCCAGCCAGTCAAGGTCAGTCTTGGTAGAGAAGGATATAGCATTCTAGCAGACATATGTGAGATGTGCTGACAAAATGAGTTATTTCTCACGATCCAAAAATGGAGATATCAGCTGAAAATCCACACTGGGGTCAGATTTATATTGATGTTCAATTGATGCCAGTTTGTTCAGGTTGACTGTGTCTTTGACTATTCCAGGCTCACAAACTGTACAAACTTCACCTATCAAGTTGATGAATCAATTTCCATAATGCTAAAATCGGAGAAGTAACTCATTTTGTCAGCACATCTCACATATATACTCGATAAAACTTCCTACTCATGAATCGAACTCACGTCGTCTACATGCGACATTGGAACGCTTATCTTCCACACCATAGATGCTGGTTTGTAGGCGTGTTGGAGAATAGAATTGCCAAAAAAATCTTAAACTGTTCACAGAAACTTTTCCTCTTTAAAAAAAAAATGTTTTGCTCTCGAAGATGATTTTAGTGATATATATATATTTGTTTTTGCTCTTGTCTGAATTTCGGTCTCTGTTATTCTCTGGTTCAGACATCTCATGTGATTACCAACACACTATCCAGTGCAACAAGGCCTACATAAATTTTTTTTTAAAAATTGGATGGCAACAAGTCAAGAGGGCGACCGAGAAAGACCTGGATATGTGGAGTCAGGGAAACACTAACAACTCACGGCACCCCTCTAATCCAATCTTTCCGGCTGGCGAAGGCTGTCTCTTTCTTCCCGCGACATCCAAAAGGGTATAAAACTGCGGATAAATGTACAAGTAAAATGTGAGGCAGCGTGGTGGAATCAGGCTCTCGTCAAAATGATCAAAGTGAAGAAACTTGCATTTTTCAGCAGGTTTGTGAATTCTTTTCCAATTTTTGTTTTTCTCTCAACACCTTTCATGCCCATAAAAGAACTCATTTCTGAGTGGATTTTTCTCAAAAATGTTGATTAAAGACACAGAAAATGTAAATTTTCAGTTACCACGGACTCTGAAGCGAAGGAAATAACTAACTTTTTGTCGGCCATTTTTTCACTAATTTTACCTCTGAAAACAAGTGACCCCCACCTCCTTCTTTCGCAAATATCTCGACTTGTATTCAAGATAAATGGATACTTTTTTCATCCAAATAAAGACAAGCGAACAAGCTTTAAGATGATACAAATAACTCTATATGTCCAAAAATTGACGAGAGCCTGATTCCACCACGCTGTCTCACAAATAAGTTATTTTCTGTTCAACCTGCACCATCTGTTTCTCCTCTCCTGCTGTGCGGCGCTGTCATTTCCCCGCGGTGTTCATTCCCTGAATCCAAGCACCACCCTCTCGAACTGAGTGTCCTTGTGTGGCGTGATGCTGTGCTCCTCTCTCAGCTCGTCTGTTGGGAAGAAGGCGGGCGTCTCGTCTGCTAAGGGGACGTAACCGAGCCGTCTTGCCAACGCCACACCAGGTATCCACAGGATGGAGCTGAGAATAAGGGCGGCTGCGAGCAGGCGACACCACCAGGGCCACGGCAGCACCACTGGGATACCCTGTTGGAAGAAAAACCAGAACAGATGGTTAGTTCGTGGCCTAGTGGTTAGACTACCGGACTCGTAATTGTGAGAATGCGGGTCGGGGGTTCGAGCCGCGGGTCCGATGTTGTGTCCTTGGGAAAGGCACTTTACAGGACTTTTCCTCACTTTACCCAGGTTGAAATGGGTACCCGGCCTTAGACAGTGAAAGATCTTGTCAGTATGTTAGTGTTTTAGCGCCTATAAATGGCTGCTTGCACTGTATGGTTCCCAGGACGTTGAGTTGGTTTCAGAATGCTCTCAGGTCTACTGAGGTAATAGTATAGATTGTGAAGCATGACATAGAACTCACTGTTGAGCGGGGATTTGCGTTATACAAATGCTATCTATTATCATTAGTTGTTGTTGTGTTAAAAATAACCACCGGCGTCTGTGAAGTAGCAATTAGTCACTTCATTGTCGCACGCAGGAGACTTTTGCCCAGGTTGTGGCTGAAGCCTACTCTTATCGATTTTGGGCCACCAAAGGATCTTTAACGTGTGCAACTTACACATGGGACCTCCGAGATTTTTCGCCCTTGTCCGAGAGAGAGGCTAGATGTAGATCTTACCTACCATAAGCTAAAGGGGTGTGCCTGAAAGGCAGCAGTAAAAAGAAGCCAAGAAGTAGCAGTAGAAAGGCTGCAGAAAGAGTCAGGAGCCTAGAGAAGGGAACAGGAGGTAAAGGGATGTGGGTAGAAAGTGGAGACGAAAGCAGACGACAGAACATTGTTAGAGAGCAGGAAAGAATGTGAAAAGAGAAAATTTGAGAAAAAAGTTTTTCCCTCGCTATCCGGATTCGAACCCGAGACCTCTGAATGAGAGGCGAACACCATAACCTCAAGGCCACGAGAGCTCACAGACTGAGTCTGATTCCCGTTTTGGGAGGAAAGTTTTGTCAAGTATCTTGATCTATTTGCTGCTATGTTGTATCTCTCTCAGCCTTTGTTGGCGCAAACCCTCTCTGGTTGGCCCTTCACAGGCAGGGTCGGAAGGCTACCTCTTAAATGATCTAAGTGTGTCGATGAGGACGTAAAAACCACTTACACTGAAAAACAAAACAAACAAAAACACCAGCTGCACCCCTCCCCTAAAAAAAAAGAAATATTATTTTGTGTTAGACAGTCAACTGTCTACTATGACAGTGGATGGCGGCAGTCTCAATAATTTTGATTTTATCAACAATATGTATGTGGAGTCAAAATTGTTTAAGACAACCACCCATTGTCGGGGAGAACAGTGGTTTTCTTTTTCTTTTTTAGGTGGACGCCTTTAAAAGTGTCATTATGATATAAACTGTACACCAGGAAGGAAATGAGAAGTGGCCGTTTGGACAGGTGGTTATCTTATATAGGTGGCCGTCTGTACATGTAATTATCTTATATAGATGGCCGTCTGTATATGTAATTATCTTATACAAGTGGCCGTTTGTACAGGTGATTATCTTATACAGGTGACCGTTTGTACAGGTGACTCTCTTATACAGGTGGCAGTTTGTACATGTGATTATCTTATACAGGTGACCGTTTGTACAGGTAATTATCTTATACAGGTGACCGTTTGTACAGGTAATTATCTTATACAGGTGGCCGTTTGTACAGGTGATTATCTTATACAAGTACCGTTGGTACAGGTGACTTTCTTATACTGGTGGCCGTGTGTACTGGTGATTATCTTATAAACGTGGCCGTTGGTGCAGGTTATTATCTTATACAGTTGACCTTTGGATATGGTTCGCATTCGACACAATTATTTAACTCGTCACTACCTTGTCGGCATCCCATGCCTCGTAGACAATGCCTTCTGAGAAGATTTCGATGAGGCTGGACACAAAGATGACCAGCACGGCCAGAGGCATGACGTAACGCCAGGAGATGAGCCAGAAATAGGACGGACGCTTGCCCAGCATCAGCTCTATGTCTTCACTGATCCTGAAATGGATGGATGGATGGATGGATGGGTGAATGAATGGATGGATAGATGGATGGATAGATGGGTGGGTGGGTGAATGGGTGAATGGATGTTTGGATGGATGGATGGTTGGATGGATGTACGGATGGATGGGTAAATGGATAGATAAATAGATGGACAGATGAATGGATGGATGAATGGATGGATCGAAGGATGGGTGGATGGATGGATGGAAGGATGGATGGATGGATGGAAGAATGGACGGATGCACAGATTGATGGATAGATGGATATATGGATAAATGGAACGATGGGTTAATGGATGGATGAATGGATAAATGGGTGAATGGATAGATGAAAGGGTGAATGAATGGATGAATGGGTGAATGAATGGATGGATGGATAGATGGGTGAATGGATGGAGGAATGGATGGATCGGTGGATGGATGTATGGGTGAATGGATGGATGAATGTATGGGTGAATGGATGAATGAATGAATGGATGAATGGATGAATAAATGGGTGGAAGAATGGATAAATGAATGGGTGGATGGAAGGGTTGATGGATGGGTTGATGAGTGAATGTATGGATGTATGGATGGATGATGGACGCACAGATGGATGAATGGAAATATGAATACGTAGCTGAATAGGTGGATTGATGGACTGATGGATTGATGGATTGATGGATTGATGAATGGATGGATGGATGGATGGATGGATGGATTGATGGATGGATGGACAATTGGTCGGAGGGACGAATTGATGGATAAACAGGAAGATAGTGCAGGTAAGCAGGTAGATAGCTGTGCCATGAGGTAGCAGCAGGTTGGTAGGTAGATTGAAACAAACACAAACAGACACACACACACACACATACACATACAAGTGCACACATGCACAAAACAACACAAACACAGACATATATATA